ATTCCAGCTACCATCTCAACCACAAAAGCCAGGAGATGCATCCGACGGACCACAGGATGGGAGGCTCTCAGGCAGGGGTTTGTCCACGGCTGGTACCAGTCCACAGCCAGTTAGGAACCGGGCTGCACAGCAGGAGGTGAGCGGGGAAGGGGGCATTTCTGCCTGAGCTCCGCCTCCCGTCAAAGTCGGGGCATTAGAGTCACAGGAGCAAGAGCCCTGCCGTGAACTGCGCAGGTGAGGGAGCGCGGCTGTGTGCTCCTGATGAGACCCTAACACCTGATGATCTGAGGCGAAACAGCTTCATCCTGAAACCACCCCCCATACCCACAGCCGTGGAAAAACTGCCTTCCTCAAAAGCAGTCCCTGGTGCCAGAAAGGTTGGGGACTGATGCTCTAAGGCATCGGCTGCCTTGGTCACGGGGAGGTGGGGCCCGGGCAGACATCACCTTGGTCACGGGGAGGTGGGCCCAGGCAGACGCCGCCTTGGTCACGGGGAGGTGGGACCTGGGCAGACACCACCTTGGTCACAGAGGTGGGCCCACGCAGACACCAGCAAAGCCCAGTGCCGCACTGCAGCCTCCCTGGGCAGGGGGGTTTTCACCCCAGTTGGCCCATGGGGTTCATCTGGTCCTTCTGCCCCCTCCTAGGCCAAGAGCTCTCCTGCCTCTGCCCGCCTTTCCTCTGACTCCCTGGCTGGCCCTCCCCACAGCTCATAGGCAGATACCTGCATGCAGGCGTGGCAGGCCACAGAAACATCCCCCCTCCATCCTGGGTCAGAGAAGAAACCTCCATCTTCAGATGGAGATGCAGGGAGGGCGTGGTACCTGCCCAGGCAGGAGACACCTCTCTGTCTCAGCGCAGACGGTGGCCTCCCCCAAGGGGACTGGTGGCCTGGGGGCTGTGGGTGTCATGGCAGTGGCTCTGTGGCTTGCCTCTGTAGGGGCCCAGGAAGTGTCGTGTCAGAGGCGTTAGTGAGGGAACAACCCCTCACTTGCCTGGCTTCGGACCCTGGGTGAGGGTCCCTCCCCAGCCCAGAACCTCAGCTCCCCTGGCAGAGGCTGAAATTAGAGACCCCCCTCACGTCAGCCTGGGCCCAAAGCTGAAAGTGGGCAGGATAAGCCCAGACCCCCAAGAAGGAAGGGACCAGGCAGGGACCCCAGGCCAGGCAGGACGTTCAGAGAAGCCTGGGGAGAGGGGGCCATCCTTGGAGAACACTCTCAGAGGTCGGGGAGGGAAGCTGTCCTTAGCCCCAGAAATACGGCACAGAAAACCCCTCCCCACCAGAGGTATCGTGCATATCATCCCACGCCTCTGGAAACAGCAGAACCAGCCTCCCCGGGGGAATGGGGTGTGGCTGGGACTGGCCCCAGCCCCCATCACCTTCCTGGGCTGACAGGGAGCCCGCCACCCTAGAACAGAGCTACACACACACCTGGGGACTGCGCTGGCCCCTGGCTGCCCTTTGCTGCTCCCTCGGACAGGGGGGATGCACGAGGGCTACCAGGTGGAGGCTCCCACCCACAGCCAGGCAGATGGAGGTTCCCTCAATAGCCAGACAGGGGGAGGTTTCCACCCACAGCAAGACAGGTGGAGCCCCCCCCACCCACAGCCAGACAGGTGGAGCCCCCCCCACAGCCAGACAGGGGGAGCCCCCCCACCCACAGCCAGACAGGGGGAGCCCCCCCACAGCCAGACAGGTGGAGCCCCCCCACCCACAGCCAGACAGGTGGAGCACCCCCCACCCACAGCCAGACAGGTGGAGCCCCCCCACCCACAGCCAGACAGGTGGAGTCCCCCCACCCACATCCAGACATGGGGAGCCCCCCCACCCACAGCCAGGCAGGTGGAGCCCCTCACCCACAGCCAGACAGGTGGAGCCCCTCACCCACAGCCAGACAGGGGGAGTCCCCCCACCCACAGCCAGACAGCTGGAGCCCCCCCACCCACAGCTAGACAGGGGGAGCCCCTCCACCCACAGCCAGACAGGTGGAGCCCCCCCCCACCCACAGCCAGGCAGGTGGAGCCCCTCACCCACAGCCAGGCAGGCCTCAGGCTCCCAGACTCTGCTGTCAAACACTGGGCCCACCGGCTGGTCCCGGGGCCACAGCCACCAGCCCCCGGGATTGGGCCATCCATCTGTCCATCTGTCCTGATGGCCAGTGTCCAGGGAGCCACAGGACTCTGGCTTCTCTGCTCCGCTCTCGGAGCCTTCAGAGCTGGGGGCTGAACGACCTGAAGTCACCTCCACTTCCAGCCAAGTAGACTGTTGGGTGGGTTTGTCCGCAGAGAGAAGTCTGGGACCCCCCCATGTCCCCAGTCCATGGGCCCCACCTCCGGGAAGCCACGTGTGGGCCCACAGGCTCCCAGATGGCAGGGCAGTGACAGAGGCTGGCCTGACACAGTCTCGGGCCTCTGAGGCTTCAGCCAGCCTTGCCGTCTGCAAACCCAGAGAAGGAGGCCAGCTCTGGGCAGACAGCTGGCCAGGCCCTGGCTCTGACACCACCGAAAGACCCCCTGCCTCAGTTTCCTCGTGTGTACAGCAGGGTGCCCCTCACCCTGCTTACAGTCCCCTCGATGATGTGCAGACACAGGAAGGAGGTGGACGGAACCACAGACACTGTCCTCCCTGTCCTTCCTGCCCCACAGCCTCACAGGCCACATGCCCAGTGATCCAGGGCCCCAGGGAGTGGGTGGAGGGCCCTGGCACTGCATTGTGGGCATGGGCCAGGGTCCAGTGGGCAAGCCCCTGACTCCCAATGAGGAAGCCTCTAGAGGCACTGCAGCCCACAGAGACCCTCCCTCCCAAGGGCTGGAGTGTGAGGATGGAGCTGGGGGTCCTGCCCGTCCGTCCTCGCAGTCCAGCCTCCAGGCTGGGACAGGCAGAGGAGATGGGCCCCAGCCCACTCCCAAGCAGGCCTGGCTAGTGCGTCCCAGGATGCACATCGCCCCAGGTGTGCACGGACGGTGTTGGCACGTCATCTGCCCCTTTGCCGGCGGCCCGGGCCCTCTGGGATCTGCCCCTTGAGTACTTTGCTGTTTCGTCATGTGCCGAGGGCCGTCCCACGTGCAGAGAGGCTCACCCCTTGAACCAGAGCGCCTCGCCTCTGAGCGAGTCCTCCCACCTGGCTCTGCTCCTTGAGCCCCCAAGCCAGTCATCTCCACCCCCCACTCCCCTCCAGTCGCCCAGTCTGTCATCTGTCAGTTCACCCGTTCGTGTGCCCATCCATGCCCAGACACTGATGGCGTGACCTGCGTGCTGCCCTCCCAGGAACTGCGTGGTGTCCGAGGACACGGGCGGGGGCCTACTTGGCAGGTAAGGAGGCATGGAGCTTGGCATTGTAGGGCAAGAGGTTGGCAGAGGTTGAGAAAATGGGGGCAGCATTCTTGGGAGAAAGAATGTGTGTGGGCAGGCCCTGAGGGGCAGGGTGCAATTGGCATCTGGGACTCAGCAGTCAGCACCTCCCAGGGACTCAACACTCAGCACCTCCAAGGAGGACTCGGTAGCTACTACTCTTGGTGACTCAACACTCAGCACCTATGGAAACTGAGTCTTAGTCCTTCCAGGGACTCCGTCCTTGACACTCCACCTTTGCAGAAGCATAAAGAGCAAGAAGGGAGCCGCCAGAGGGGAGGCCGGAGGTTGGCAGAAGCCAATCAGGGAAGGCAGCTTGGGCAGCTGGAGAGTTTGGACTTCAGCAGGGGGCAGTGGGGAGCTACAGAAGGGGTTAGAGCAGAGGAAAGGCATGGAGCTGGGACTACCAAGTCCTCCCTGTGTCTGCAACTGTCCTTTTTCATCCCCACAAGAGTCTGACCTGCTCCGTTTCCCACCTAGACTGATTCACCTCTCCTTAGGCAACTTGGTGGTCCCCGCACCCAGGAGGTCACCATATTGGGGCTGAACTCGGTGCAGACACCCAATCAGCATAGCACTACAGCCCAGAACTCCTGGGTTCCAGCAGTCCTCCTGCCTCAGCCTCCGGAGAAGCTGGGGCTACAGGCATGCACACCGCCCTTTTTCAAGGACTAATGCTCTCACTTAGGGCAAACCAGATGCTGCTTCCCCCCAGCCCCAACCCCTAACCAACCCCAAGTCTCTCCTCGAACCCCAGCATGGGAGGAAGGGGCTGACAGAGGGGACCCTGAGCTCAGGCCAAGGGGCATCAGGGGCTGGGCTGAGCAGCCATGATGTCAGGGCTGGATGTGGAGGGCTGAGGAGAGTCCTGGGCAGAGGTGAAACCAGAGGCTGCCTGCGCAGCCCACACAAGGAGGCAACAGGGAGGCTGGTTTCACTCCGCCTCGGCACTGCCTCCTCCCTGGGCCGACCAGGAGCAGACACACCCAGGCGTTGGCCCGGCCCCAAGTGACCTCTTCACTGGCAGAGGGGAGAAACGATGTCCTCCTGCCTGTTCTCCTGCACCCCACTTCTGCTCTGCACCCTCAGCCCCAGAATTGGAATCCAGCAGCAGTGGTTGGCCCCCACCTGTGCCTGGGGCAGGGCTCCTTGGGGAGCAGAGAGCCCACAGCCCACAGCCCACTGGCCACGCTGCAGCTCCCAACCCCAGGGCAGCCTGCCTGGAGTCCTCAGCCCCTCCCGCTTAGGGGCCAGCTGCGAGGCACAGCCGCCAGGTCTGGGGTCCTCACCAGCAGCCCCCGGCCTGGGTGAGCGTGCGCTCTCCATCTAGTATTGAGGACTCTGGTAAGGGTTCCAGGTCCCACACACTTGCTAAGAGCCTGGCCCTGGTGTGCCCAGAATCCCGGGCTGGACGGAGGAAAGCCGCCCTCCCGCAGTGCTTCCGACCCACAGGGTGCCCCAGCCATCCAGGAGGTCCGAGAGGCAGCTGAGCTCTGCTGCGGTCTCACCCACACCCGACCTGGCAGCCTGCAGGGACCCCCCCCACAGGAGCCTTCCAGGTGGGGCTGCCAGTGGGCGACTGGGGCCCAGTGGCCGGGGCGTGGCTGGGGGCAGCACAGGTGTGGACCCTTTGTAGCAAGGGACTCACCTGCATGCTGGTTGCGGCTGGAGTTCCGGGGCTGGCGCTGGCGGCCAGGAGAGTGGCTGCCAGGTAGGAGTTGGACACTCCTACCTGACTTCCGCGTGGGGCTTGCCCCTCCCTCATCCTTCACCGTCTGCCTGCCACCTGGGTGTAGTCGGGGAGGAGCCGGCATCTGGGCCAGGAGAGTCCCCCAGCCTCTGGGGCCTCAGACACCTTCCTGAAGCCAAGATGGCGGGGTCAGGGGCCGGAGGGGAAGGAGACAGTTCCTAGGCTGGAGTTCTGGGAGGGGGGTTTCCGCTATGAGATGGGGCTCATGACACCCACTCCTAGGGGGAAGCAGGATGGCATGGAGCCCTGGCTGAGCCCGCACCAACACCCCACTTGCTTTGCCTCTCAGCCCCAGCTTACACATCCCCACGTTCCCTCCTAAAGTACCCCACCCCAGGCAGCACCCCAACCCAGAGAGGACCCCACCCCATACAGCACCCACCCCAGGTGACCACCTCCCAGCCCCAGGCAGCACCCCAACCCAGAGAGGACCCCACCCCAGGCAGCACCCCAACCCAGGCAGCACCCCACCCCAGGTGACCACCTCCCCACCCCAGGCAGCATCCCGCCCCAGGTGACCACCTCCCCACCCCAGGCAGCACCCCAACCCAGAGAGGACCCCACCCCACACAGCACCCCACCCCAGGTGACCACCTCCCAGCCCCAGGCAGCACCCCAACCCAGAGAGGACCCCACCCCACACAGCACCCCACCCCAGGTGACCACCTCCCCACCCCAGGCAGCACCCCAACCCAGAGAGGACCCCACCCCACACAGCACCCCACCCCAGGTGACCACCTCCCAGCCCCAGGCAGCACCCCAACCCAGAGAGGACCCCACCCCAGGCAGCACCCCACCCCAGGTGACCACCTCCCCACCCCAGGCAGCACCCCAACCCAGAGAGGACCCCACCCCAGGCAGCACCCCAACCCAGGCAGCACCCCACACCAGGTGACCACCTCCCCACCCCAGGCAGCACCCCAACCCAGAGAGGACCCCACCCCACACAGCACCCCACCCCAGGTGACCACCTCCCAGCCCCAGGCAGCACCCCAACCCAGAGAGGACCCCACCCCACACAGCACCCCACCCCAGGTGACCACCTCCCGGCCCCAGGCAGCACACCACACCAGGCCACCACCTACCACCCCACAAGTCCAGTGTTGATTCACTTAGAGGAGAAACGGGGGCAAGGAGGACTGAGGACGAAACAGACTCCCAAAGAAACTGTCTTCTCCCACCTCAGCTCTGCTTTCTGGGCTCCAGCTGGGAAGTCCTTGGAGTCTTGGGGACACATGGCTGGCCCCAGGCTGTGCTGGAGGAGGAGCCCCCTGCATCCCCAGCCTGTGTAGACAAGGGAGAAGGAGACCCCACATCCCCAGGCCCTGAAGACATTCTGTGCAGCTGGGTGGAGGACCGAAGCTGAGAAGCTGGGAAGACTCTGGGTCCTGAGAGTGGCATCCGGTGGAGTGCCCGAGATCAGAGGCGGGCAGGGAGTGGGGCCCAGGCTGGCGGGCTGGCAGGCATTATCTGCAGCGTGTGTGGTGAGACTCAGATCTGAGACGTCAGGTGCAAAACTCCAGGTGGAGAGCTCCCTGTAGAGTACAGGGGTTCAGGGTGGAGGCTCTGGGGTCTGGAAGGAGCTGGGGGTAGCTGTCACCAACCTTTCTCTGCCTTAGTTTCTCCATCTCTAAGCGACAGTCAAAAATAGAACCTAAGGGGGTGTGTAAAGATCACAATAGCTGCCCCTGTGCTGTGGCTCATGCCTGTAACCCCAGCACTTTGGAAGGCCAAGGATCACCTGAGGTCAGGAGTTCGAGACCCGCTTCTGAAAGCTGGAGAAGCAGGGCCAGAGCTCCACGGGCAGACACTGTCACACAGACAGCACCACAGGCCTGCTGGGCTGGAGCACACACGGGCAAGCCCAGCACCCTCAGCTGTGGTGCAGTCCTCGGCTTCCCCAAGGGCTAACATGGCCCCACCCGCATTTCTCCCTGGGGGACCTCCTGGCAGCCTGGGATAGCAGCAGAGACCACAACTCTGCCACTTTGGCAAAGACAAGGGAGTGAAATGGTGGCCGAGGACCCGTGAACTCTCCAGATGGAACAAATCCAGATGGAACACGCTGAGATTTGTGTGCCAAAGGGTTGTGGCTTAAACCAGCTGTGTGTTTTTCCTATAAGTGAAATCTGGAGTTGGCCGGGTATGGTGGCTCACACCCAGAACTTTGGGAGGCCGAGGTGGGCAGATCACCTTAGGTCAGGAGTTCAAGACCAGCCTGGCCAATATGCTGAGACCCCCGTCTCTACCAAAACTACAAAAAATTAGCCAGGTGTGGTGGTACATGCCTATAATCCCAGCTACTCAGAAGGCTGAGGTTAGAGGATCACTTGAACCTGGGAGGTTGCAGTGAGCCGAGCTCACACCACTGCACTCCAGCCTGGGTGACAGAGCGAGACGCTGTCACACACACACACGCAGCTGGAGTTGGCTAGTCCTGCACTAGTGTGGCCAAACTATAGTCATTGGAGACCCAGAATGCAGAGGGTCCAAGGACCCACTCCAAAATAGCTGCTCAAGCTCTGGACATCACATCCTCATTCCAGACAGCGGGAAGAGGAAAGGGTGAAGGAGGGAACCCCACCCTTCGCCTGGTTAGTCACATGCCCACACTTTACGGCACGGAAGCCTGGGGCCTGTGAGCTCTTTTCCCGTGGAAAGGTAAGTGGAAGACAGAACACCCAGCAGTCTCACCAGCGGGTCACAGCTGCCAAGTTAGAATTCAGAAACAGAATCTGCGAGGCTTACTGAGCACGAGGGGAAGGGACATGCAAGGGCCACGTGGCCAGCCAGCGCCTGCACGCTCCAGGACAGGTGTCCGTCCCCAGCCCCCAACTCAGCCTGCCCAGGACGCTCTGTGCTCACGTTTTCACCGTGTTAAGACAATCTGCCGTGGCCCGGCGCGGTGGCTCACGCCTGTAATCCCAGCACTTTGGGAGGCCGAGGCGGGTGGATCACGAGGTCAAGAGATCGAGACCATTCTGGTCAACATGGTGAAACCCCGTCTCTATTAAAAATACAAAAAAATTAGCTGGGCATGGTGGCGCGTGTCTGTAATCCCAGCTACTCGGGAGGCTGAGGCAGGAGAATTGCCTGAACCCAGGAGGCGGAGGTTGCGGTGAGCCGAGATCGCGCCATTGCACTCCAGCCTGGGTAACAAGAGCGAAACTCCGTCTCAAAAAATAAAAAGACAGTCTGCCAGCGGGTCACAGGTGTTACCCTTCTGAGGTGTCACTTCAAGCATCTGCACAGCTGTGCTCTTTTTCAGTGGCTTTTTTTTTCTTTTTTTCTGAGGCGGAGTTTCGCTCTTGTTGCCCAGGCTGGAGTGCAATGGCGCGATCTCGGCTCACCGCAACCTCTGCCTCCTGGGTTCAGGCAATTCTCCTGCCTCAGCCTCCCGAGTATGGGATTACAGGCACGCGCCACCATGTCCAGCTAATGTTTTTTTTTGTATTTTTAGTAGAGACGGGGTTTCACCTTGTTGACCAGGATGGTCTCGATCTCTTGACCTCATGATCCACCCGCCTCGGCCTCCCAAAGTGCTGGGACTATAGGCGTGGCTTTTTCAGCATTCCAGTTGCACTGCAGAAACATGGCTCCTCCTCCCCACACACCTTCCATAGGCATCACCTGAGGAATCCCCAGTCTTCCGGAGTCCTCCCGGCACAGCCGGGGTGTCCAGCCTCAGGGGAGAGAGCTCACCGAGGCGGCCGCCTTGGATGCTGGCCTGAGGCATGTGGAAGTTCCCTTACATCTGGTGAAGTAGGAGGAGGTGGGGGAGGAAGGGCAGACCCCATCCAGGCCCGTCTGGACGGAAAACCAGTACAACCCTTTCAGAAGGCAATTCGGCCGTTATACGGATGAAGAGACTTTGGTCCATTTATCTAACTTTCTGTAAACCGTTCTAAAGAAACAATGCAAAATAGTGAAAAAATATATATGTCATTTGCTGCAAAAATTGTAACGCACCAATGTTCAACAACAGGGAAATATCAGAGTAAGCGCGGTCTTCGTATTTGTATGCTGATTAAGCAGACGTCAGAAGTTACACTTTCAAAGAGCTTTTGAGAAAACAGGAAAACGCTTCTGTTATACTGTTAAATTGAAAAACATAGATTACAAGTCTAGAAAAATTTGTCTAAATCAAAAGAGATTTATTAATTTATTATTTATTTTTTCTGAGACGGAGTTTCGCTCTTGTTGCCCAGGCTGGAGTGCAATGGCGCGATCTCGGCTCACCGCAACCTCCGCCTCCTGGGTTCAGTGATTCTCCTGCCTCAGCCTCCCGAGTAGCTGGGATTACAGGCTGCATGCACCACCACACCACTCATTTTGTATTTTTAGTAGAGACGGGGTTTCACCATGTTGGTCAGGCTGGTCTCGAACTCCTGACCTCAGGTGATCCACCCACATCAGCCTCCCAAAGTGCTGGGATTACAGGTGTGAGCCACCTCGCTTGGCCAAGATGTACTGATTTTTTTTAATTGTCTTTTTTTTTGAGACAGGGTCTCAGTCTTGTTGCCCAGGCTGGAGTGTAGTGGCACGATCTCAGCTCAGCAAAACCTCTGCCTCCCAGGTTCAAGCAATTCTACTGCCTCAGTCTCCTGAGTAGCTGGGATTACAGGCATGCACCACCACGCTCGGACAATTTTTCTATTTTTAGTAGACAGGGTTTCTCCACGTTGGTGAAGTTGGTCTCAAACTCTCAACCTCAGGTGATCGACCCGCCTTGGCCTCCCAAAGTGCTGGGATTACAGGCGTGAGCCGCTGCGTCTGGGGTACCTGTGCAGAACGTGTAGGTTTGTTACACAGGTAAACGTGTGCTATGGTGGTTTGGTGCTCCCGTCACAAACATGCATAAAATGTTTATTTCAACTCAGCTAAGGTGCATTAAAATATGGGAAGAGTAGGGCCGGGCACGGTGGCTCAGGCCTGTAATCCCAGCACTTTGGGAGGCTGAGGCGGGCCAGTTACGAGGTCAGGAGACAGAGACCATCCGGGCTAACACAGTGAAACCCCGTCTCTACTAAAATTACAGAAAAAACGGGCACGGTGGCACGCGCCTGTAGTCCCAGCTACTTGGGAGGCTGAGGCAGGAGAATTGCCTGAACCTGGGAGGCGGAGGTCGCCGTGAGCAGAGATCGTGCCACTGCACTCCAGCCTGAGCGGCACAGGGAGACGCCATCTCAATTTAAAAAAAAAAGGGGGGGAAGAGCAGATTGATATTTGGTATTTATATGTGCCTAACAATGTGAACTAAGGATGCTATATTATGCTTTCCTTCACTGTTTTCGAATTTCCTAACACAAACAATCACATTCAAGTCTATTATTAAAACCTTTATTTTCCCCAGACTCAGCCTGACTCAGCTTCCCGTTTTGTATGCAGCTCCTGCATACAACTCAGGAGCTTGGCCCTGCCGTTATGGCCCTGCCCTGCCTTGGCAGAGAACTTTGGTCGAAGTCCCCGCAGGCCTCCTGCTCTTCCTCTGTGGACCTTGGACCCTGCTCCTCTGTCCTTCCTCCTCCCCCCTCCAGAAGACCCACCGTCCTGATGCCTCCGCCACCCCCAGGCCCAAGGTGCAGCAGAGGCGGGCCCTCCATCCCTGCGGTCTCCTTTCAATTGTGGGATCTGGCAGAGGGGTCAGGATGACAAAGCCAATAAGGACCCTAGGTGAAATCCCAGGTCGGAGCACCGATGGCCACTGCCATTGCCCTGGGCCCCTCCCCAAGAGACCCATCCTCCCACACCCCACAGCCTCCCGGGCGTGCCTTGTCCGGGGCCCCTCCAGGTCAGCTGAAGTCAGTGCCTCTGGGAACCTGCCCCTATTTTCTCTCTGGGCTGGTCTCAGGCATCCTGCTGACTGGAGCCTCTCTTGGCTGACTGCTTGGCAGGCAACCCCCAGCCTCAGGCCCCTGCAGGGGAGACCCTCTCCCAGCTGGGCCTCTGCCCTTGAGGTCTGCCTGAAGCCGTCCTTGCCTGCCATACCAGGGTGGCAGTGGGATGGGGACTCAAACCCCTCATGTCCTCATGACAGGGACGACTCTGTCTCCCTGCTCCCTCCCCAGCACCTCTGGGCCTTAAATTTCCACCAGTTCCAGTTTCTTGACTTAGGGAGCAGTCCTGCTGTCCAGGCTCCCTCCACCAAGCCTGAGAAAACTCCCAGGCACAGGTGTACATGTGGCAGGTGAGTGTTCTGTAATCCACTCATCTTTAGAGATTTACCACAGCAGAGGAAATATTGTAACAGACTTTGTTACTTTAGAAATTCCGCCGGCGCTGTGGTTCATGCCTGTAATCCCAGCACTTTGGGAGGCCAGGCAGACGGATCATGACGTCAGGTGTAGGGCTGAGAGCCCCACAGGGTCGTTGGGTGAGCCTTATGCTGTGCTGAGGTGCAGGATCCGGGAAATAAAGAGACAGGACACAGAAGTACAAGGAAAATGCAGCTGGACTCAGGGGGCCACGCCACCTATGAGCGGAATCAGGCTAGGCCCCGAATGTCCAGAAGCCTGAGTATTTATTGTGTATAGGT